TTTAGATCTTTTGTGCTTTGTAATTATAAAAAAGGCAAGTACAAATGTAGTGTATATTTATATATATATATATTTATAAATTGATTTTTTTTCTAAGTTAATTTTTTTTAAGGTTATTGCAAGGCAAATTGAAATGTTCAAGCTGCTATGTTATGAACGCCAACTTATCTCATGGCGAAAAGAATTTCAGAAAGAATGGAATTCACTAGCATCCTGTTCATATAAATTTAATGCATATTTAACTGATCATGAAAAATGGATTTGTTCATGTCCATATTTTATAAATAATAGATTTTTTCTATGTAAGCATTTAGTTATTCCAGTCGGCCCAAAGCTACCCTCATTCTTTTATAATGTATGTATATTCTAAATTGTAAGTGTATGTATTATAATATAAATCTATAGCAACTAATTACAATTTATTAATTTAGATTTGTCACAATTTAATATACTCTTTAATTGCAATATCATCAAGCAATCCTTGGCTAGAAATATGTTTAATTTGTGATTCTATGGACCTCAAAAATAATGAACATTTATCAAATGATTCTACTGAAATATTCAATAACGATGAAATATGTGAAATAAATCAAGATGAAATGCTTGAAATGGACGAGGGCATTAAAGAAACTGAGCAAAAGCATGCACAATTGTCACAAGTTTTAAATGAGGTTTTTTTTTTTTTTTTTTTTTTTTTTAATATTAAATTTTTAATTGCCATTTTATATTTAGGCATTACGCATTCTTGACGAATCCAAAGGTTTTTCTAACTACCAAAAATTTCTGAACAATATGGAAACGAAGATAACCCCACTTAAGAAGTTAGTGGAAGATATTATACACTATGAAAATAAGCACAAACTATCACGAACTTGGAAAGATAGTAATGAAAATACACTATATTATGGATAAAGAATTTAATAATATAGCAGTTCTAATTATTTGTATTAAATAAATGAATGTATTCATGTGCTTATCTTGCATAAAATAAAAAATATGTATATATTTGTGCATTTTGTCTTG